ATTTTCCACACACACACACACACACACACACACACACACACACACACACACACACACACACACACACACACACACACACACAGCACACATCACACAGGAGACCTGTGTTCGCGTATGCCCAGTGTCAGTCAATTAAAACAACATTTTGCTGAAATAATACGTTGAGCGTGGGGAGGAAACCACTCGTTGCCACAGCTTCACATGAAGAATGAATCCTGACGCTTCCCTTTATTATTGCAATAATGGGCTGACATAACACTAATGAAATTAAAATGAGCCAATATAGATGGCGATACAATATGTTATCTTCATGATAAATTCAGCCGCGTAGCCAGGCTTTATGAATGACTGCGACGGTATTTTGTTCAAATAAAACATTCAGTTTAGTTAGCACATACCCACCAGTCATTTTAATCACAAGCACTTGAAGCGTTTCAATAATATCGAGTATGCGAAACCGCATAACAGGCCACAAATGCGTGCGTGTGTTCCGATTGCGTTGCTGAGCTCGCGTTACGGTACCACCTGTCGACTCTCGCTCTGAGGGCTTACTAGCCGTCTACGAAGTCAACCAGGTCTGTACTGACGTTTGTATGTATTCTTATTCGAGTTGTTTCGCGTCGCGTTTTGTCGTAATCTGGGAATCCCACATCGATTGACTGCTGCCCCATGTTAGTTTAATGCAATATATAGTATAGGAAGCTTATTATATTATGATTGCTATAATGATGCAATATGTATTAAGAGGAAGTAGGACGCCAATGTTTTTGCGTGGTGCCCGACCTTGATATTCGAATTTCATTTTCCTGTCTTAATTAGCATTACTATTGTATTATATTAATGTCTCGTAATGTCTCGTAATGTCAAATGCTGATTAAAATTGCCACGTGTGCGCCCGGTTATAACGTATATATAGTGTGCAAAGAAATTATATCATAAAAATATTGTAGGCTGCATGCAGGACATGCATTTATAATTTCGATAAAATAGACGGAGTTTGCGTTTTTGTTTCTTTGTGGACTGCTTGACCCGAGAACCTTGAGAAATTCTGTGTTTCCGTAGTTTTGTTACAAATTTCGTTGTGGTAAATGAAAGCTTCTTTAGCCTGAAACCAGGCAAGGTAGGCGCCCAGTCCGCATGCCACGTATGGTTTTATTCGGCCTGGTAGTTAAAGAGCAGCAGATCCGGCACCCAGGCAAAGATACTGCGCTTATAATATATATAT